AAAGAATTAAACAACAAAATCTCAACGATTCATATTTGCAATAAGGGAAAAAATATTTGTTAGTTGTGGAAAGTCTTGGAGATACATGCAGTCTGCCAAGGACTGGTCTACAGACCACTCTGTGATGACTTTGTCAAAATTGAAGACTTTCCATACCCCAAATCTATTTCTAGTCCTAAGACACAGTGTCTCTTCCTTCTGCCCTCCACCCATCCCAGAGCAATTTGACTTGCGTTTACCGCCATCACTTTGATTTCTGCCTTTAGATATTTCTTCAGGCTGTCTTGCTTCTGCTGGGCAGGCTGGGGTTTGTCTGTTTGGGGAAAGTCAACTCCATTTGTTGAAATCACTGTGACAGTCTCATTGGTCACGATTTGTGGGATCATAATGGAGCTTCCACAGCTGGAAGAGAAAATGAACTCAACTCTTAAAAGGAACTGTTCTCACTGTAGCAATTTTTGTTGTTTTGTTTGTTTTGTTTTGGGCTGTTTGTTGAGAGAAAGAAGGTATGAAATTGGATGGGAAGGGAGGATCAGAATATATTGTATGAATTTTCAATAAAAAAACTAAATGCTTTACTCTGAATACAAAATGTCCAACCAACAAACAAAACGATATAAGCTCTGCTCCCAGGTTCTGCTGCCACCTCCCAGACTGTGTGCCTTCCTGTATGCTTGATCTGTTTTCTGGTAGATGTAACTGGTAGTACAGAGAAATGAAAACCTAATACACCTTGGGTTCCTCAGGTCTTTCCCAGTAATGTTGGACTGATTTTAGATAATAAACACATTGTAGGTAGAGATAGCATGAGTCTCTAGAGGTTCCTGTGTCCATACCTAAAAGTTCACACAAAATTTGCAAAATGTAGCTGAGCTCTTTCCTCAATTCAGCCTATCTTAAGTGCATTTTCTTTATTCGATGACATTTACCCTCAAGTTACTCTGCTAGTCATAAGATATTAAAATGCAATCTTCAATGTTTTCCAATTCATGCTACATACCACTCAAAATACTTAATCCCATTTGTCTGTGAGTCTAATAGTACCATTTTTAGAGTTAGCACTTCATATTTTATCATATTTAATAGAAGTTATCTCGCAGTGTTTTTAATCCTTGAAAAACCCTTCCTGTTAATTAATAAAATCATAATCAGTAAGAAAATTCAGAGTCAAAAGTTTGATATACATGTGGAAGTAATTCGCATTTTGTTCAGGGACATAAAGATCAATGTTAGATAAATATTTAGAGTTCTTATTATATTATCTATTGCTATTTATTATAAACAAATTATTTAATATTATATTAATAGTAATAATACATGATTATTAATCAGTTGCCTACACACAGTTGGGTGTTGGACCCCAGCTGTCTCTGACTCTGCTTCTTCTCCCCATTTCCTCCCTCCCTGCTAATGGCAGCCCGTGTCTGAGTCTCTTCAGTATGGAGAAGCAGCTGAATGCACTGATGTGAGAAGTCCTGGAGTCATAACCTGGGGTTCAAGGTCAGAACTCTGTCTTTGTTAGTTGGAAAGACTAAGTTGCCTATGGAATTGGTTTCCTAGCTCAGCTTGGTGTTGTGGGATATTTTGATGGCACTCTGATACTCCAAAGACTTCCTAATAAAGTTATACCTTGAACCTGGTGGTGGAGTTGGTGACTAGCTGATTGGAGTTGGCCACAGAGAAGCCAGCAATTTCGATATGGAAGACACACAGGAAAGAAAGGACAGGGATTGGAGTATGAGCTTCCTCTTGGTTCTGGGACAAGGAAAGAGAACATGTCTCTTGCAGTATTTCTGGCCAAAACTCAAGGTCAGCTAGTTGCTACTCAGTCTCTCTGAGCTAGCAGGTTTTCAACCCAGTCTTTGACTTCTGAATCTTATTAATAAATAGAATAATAGAAACTTAATTCAAACCTACATATTGTGGTAGTAACAGAGCCGGGGCCATGGGACCAGAAGCCCCACCAGGCCATGGCCTGAGTGGCCGGCAGGGTGTGGCTGAGGGGCCATGGGATGGTAGATGATAATTAAAGAATCAGTAGATTCATGTGTCACTGCTAAACCAACAGAAAAACTTCAGCTTGGCTCTCTTTCCTCTGTACCATTCTCAGCCCTTAGGCTGCCCAATCAG